ATATATATATATATATACTCGTGAGCACACATCAATCTACTCACTCGTGAGAATGCATCAATCTACTCACTCGTGAGCACATATCAATCTACTCACTCGTGAGCATGCATCAATCTACTCACTCGTGAGCATGCATCAGTGCCATCATCGTACGTCCAAGATACCAATTGTCACGTGACTCTATAGAGAAATGCAGATACAGAGCAGGAACAATCTTCTTCCCCATCAATACCGATCAATACCAATTGAATGCTGAAACTTCGGTAAACAAATTCATCGGGCGTAATTAGACAGGAAATCTCACAAAAATTTACAAGAGAAAAAATTGATTTATTTAGATTAGAATTTGTTTAACTGTAAAATATTTGATTTAGAAAACGCGTTAAAAAAATTTCAGAAAATCCTCAGGCATATATCCTAGAGTGCACCTTCGACCAAACCAATTAGCCGTTATTCTGAAGGTGGAGCCCGCTTTTTGCAACACTTTCGTCCAGTCCATAATGACCCTCAATCATTGGCCCACCCTTTTCCCTAAACGATGCTCTTTCTCCCAATCTCTTGATGTAGATGTATTTTTTTGTTCAGATCTTGTAAACCATACACAGGGAATGTGAACGTTTTTTTGTCGCCAAAATTTCCCCCGGGATAATGAGGCTAGCGTCCTACGATTTTCATCTTTAAGTAATTTTAACATGCGAGATCATTTACTCACGTTCTGGAATAATTTCACATCTGGCGCGGGGGATTCACGTGCGTTGTCTACCGTGTCGCTAAATTATGGTTTGATATTAGCCAATTAACATGGCCGAGGATAGAACAGTCGAGTTTTTGAACGATCGAAATGTCACTTTAAAACAAGACATCCCTATATGTGTTAGATATGCTGTAAAAAGGGGATGTCACATTGAAAATGACATACATATGTTCGGGATGCTGTAGAGATTTGAAATGTGACATTGAAAAATTGACATATGAATGTTCTGGATCTGTAAGTAGCTGTTGCTGAGTTGAAAGATGAGCACTTAAATGTTAACCACGTGACAAGGTCTGGCATATTAGACCTGATGAAGATTGTGTCCAGAATGGTTTACTTGTCAATTTCACACATGCCATTGACTAGACAAGATGACAAGTGGTTGACACTTTGTTCAATGTATCACACCTTCTAAACAATTACCATCATTTGTTTTATCTAATAATGCTACTAAACACACTGTCAGAAATTTTATAAATAAAATCTTGTAAAGAAAGTGCAAGGTTTTGTTCTATTGAATGAATCTTTTAAACACAAATCTTTTTTAAAAAGTGCCAGATTTTTCTCCATCTTGAAGCCAAGCCTGATGTTGATTTTAAACATTTGAACTGAAAGCTGAAACTGGCCCGTGAATACCAACGAGATCTCGAGCAGCCCCGAGACTGCGGGCACGGCAGTTAACTTGACAAAAAGACCGGACCCGGTTGCTCAAAGAGCCGGAGAAGCCATTGATTTTTTTTTCTAGTTTCTGTTTTAAATTTTTTTATGTAAAACATTTCTTTGAACGTGATTTTGAGTCGAAGTGGAAAAAACTAAAAAAATATTTGAAGGTGTTAAATATTTAACTGTCGCAAATGACCTTTCATCTCAAAGGTTTAGGATTAATTTTAAAAGGTTTAGGATTAGCAAAACATCAAACAAACAAAAAAATCCAGTTCAAATATTAGTCTATCATTTTTAATCAAGAATGTATTTTCATAAAAAATATCATTTGGACCCAATATATGTACACAACACGTCAACTAATGAATTGGTGCACAAAACACGTTCTAGTTTAGAGAAATGGAACAAAATGTTCTATGAGCTAACGTGTCACATGACATAGCTAACACAACACGGGTCACCGTGACATTTCATTCAGGTGCAACAACAAAACACCTGACATTAGGATCACCTGATTTGTGTTTACCACAGGAGTAGACACCCTACCCCTACCTCATCATTTACCACCACCCTAAAACAAATACCTCACCCTACACCCCAGTATGTGCATCCCCTCAGCTACATTCCCAATCAGACGTCCTGACGTCTTCGTTGCCACCACATCCCACCCCACATATCTCCAGCCCCAAATCCCCACCCGACCCCTACAGCCCCCTACCCCAAAGCCCTACCTCTGGCTCACCCCGACCCCTACAACCCCCTACCCCTTAATCCCCACCTCTATCACATCACTTACATTCCCCCACCCCAAGTCTCACCCCTCCAACATCCCCCACCCCTAAATCCCCACCCCTACATCCTTGCCCCTTTATCACCTCTCCTACACCTACCCTGATACCCACCCCCTACATCCCAAACGTCCCTCACCCCAAACCCACTCTTACCCTGCTGTGAGTTGAATGTCAGAAATACATTTACATATTATTTATTGATCACAAATTTTACAAGCAATAAAGTTAATTCAACAAACAAAATAGAATCAACAATAATAATAAACACAAGGAATTCACTTTGTGGATCTCGTTTTATCTGTTCTTAATTTATAACTGTGGAGATTGGGGAAGGGGGGATTTCATAACCAAGGAAAAAAACAATACCAGTCCATCACCAGTACGCCAACATCATCCTAACATATAACACAAACATCAACCAACGCAATGAACCCCAACATCACCCTAACATAATAACACAAACATCAACCAACGTAATGAACCCCAACATCGTCCTAAATTAATAACACAAACATCAACCAACGTAATGAACCCCAACATCACCCTAACATAATAACACAAACATCAACCAACGCAATGAACCCCAACATCGTCCTAAATTAATAACACAAACATCAACCAACGTAATGAACCCCAACATCGTCCTAAATTAATAACACAAACATCAACCAACGCAATGAACCCCAACATCACCCTAACATAATAACACAAACATCAACCAACGTAATGAACCCCAACATCACCCTAACATAATAACACAAACATCAACCAACGTAATGAACCCCAACATCACCCTAACATAATAACACAAACATCAACCAACGCAATGAACCCCAACATCACCCTAACATAATAACACAAACATCAACCAACGCAATGAACCCCAACATCGTCCTAAATTAATAACACAAACATCAACCAACGCAATGAACCCCAACATCACCCTAACATAATAACACAAACATCAACCAACGCAATGAACCCCAACATCACCCTAACATAATAACACAAACATCAACCAACGTAATGAACCCCAACATCGTCCTAAATTAATAACACAAACATCAACCAACGCAATGAACCCCAACATCACCCTAACATAATAACACAAACATCAACCAACGTAATGAACCCCAACATCACCCTAACATAATAACACAAACATCAACCAACGCAATGAACCCCAACATCACCCTAACATAATAACACAAACATCAACCAACGCAATGAACCCCAACATCACCCTAACATAATAACACAAACATCAACCAACGTAATGAACCCCAACATCACCCTAACATAATAACACAAACATCAACCAACGCAATGAACCCCAACATCACCCTAACATAATAACACAAACATCAACCAACGCAATGAACCCCAACATCGTCCTAAATTAATAACACAAACATCAACCAACGCAATGAACCCCAACATCACCCTAACATAATAACACAAACATCAACCAACGCAATGAACCCCAACATCACCCTAACATAATAACACAAACATCAACCAACGCAATGAACCCCAACATCACCCTAACATAATAACACAAACATCAACCAACGCAATGAACCCCAACATCACCCTAACATAATAACACAAACATCAACCAACGCAATGAACCCCAACATCGTCCTAAATTAATAACACAAACATCAACCAACGCAATGAACCCCAACATCACCCTAACATAATAACACAAACATCAACCAACGCAATGAACCCCAACATCACCCTAACATAATAACACAAACATCAACCAACGCAATGAACCCCAACATCACCCTAACATAATAACACAAACATCAACCAACGCAATGAACCCCAACATCGTCCTAAATTAATAACACAAACATCAACCAACGCAATGAACCCCAACATCGTCCTAAATTAATAACACAAACATCAACCAACGCAATGAATCCCAACATCACCCTAACATAATAACACAAACATCAACCAACGTAATGAACCCAAACATCATCCTAGTATAAACCAACACCAGTTTTCATATACTGTGATGTCCCCACTTCTAAAACCAATATTTTGACCCTAGCAGTCTAAATTCACGTAACTGCCACACAACTTTACACACTATTTCAATCGTTTATGTAATCAAGTTAATGCCAAAGGTTTTCAAGCTCCAGGCTTAGCTGTTAAAAAAATAAATCACCAAAACACGAAACGAGTTTAAAAAAACTCCATCTCGTCCACGGCGAAGATTAAAGCTGCATTCAAATGTCAAAATCAGCCACCGATAAGAATTCAGCCTTTCTTTTTGGAAGTCGCAGGCACTTCGCTGGGGGCGAGCGAGAAATTGTTTAGATGTTAAATTTAAATACCGGGCTCCCAGCGACGTAGGAGGGTTGACAAAATGTCATTTGTTTAAAGCTGGGGTCAACAGGAGAAATAAATTCCTGGGTCACGTGAGGAGGTACGCGTGCTGTTTGATGGTGTGGCCGTCGCACCGAGGGGGGGGGGGGGGGGGAGTTGATGGTGTGGCCGTCACACACAGCACAGCAACACTGGGGGGGGGGGGGTTGTTGGTGTGGCCGTCACACACAGCACAAGAGCACTGGGGGGGGGGGGGGAGTGGTTTGTTGGTGTGGCCGTCACACACAGCACAACAACGCTAGGGGGGGGGTGGTTTGTTGGTGTGGCCGTCACACTCAGCACAACAACACTAGGGGGGTGGTTTGTTTGATGGTGTGGCCGTCACACACAGCACAACAACACTGGGGGGGGGGGTGGTTTGTTGGTGTGGCCGTCACTATCATCACTGGGTGTGGGTGTGGGGGTGGCTTGTTTGATTGTGTGGCAGTCACATCACAGCACCAGTGTTTGTGGGTGTGGGGGTGGCTTGTTTGATGGTGTGGCAGTCACATCACAGCACCACTGTGGGGGTGGCTTGAAACAACACCAGCAGACAGTCTTTATACTGTTGTCTTCATAGGCCCGGGGGGAGAGGGTAATTAGAGAGCCATTCATGAGCCATTTTATTCATCCAACAGCTATGTTATACTTGCAATGTGGTTTACTACATCCAGGGGAGTTTTGAGCATTCTATTTGCTAGGAGTTATTTTGTACCCATCATATTATAGGGTAAAAAGATATGTAATGGTGTAATATTATATCTCTGACTATCCAAAGCTAGAACTTTTAAAATATTTCACACAAAATGTTTTTAAAATAAATTTCCGTTTGTGTATTTAAGGTTATTCTAGTTATAATTAAAAGGTTTTGTAGTTCTCGTTAAATCTTCCGTGTACTTACAGTTAAATAAAATGTGTAGTTAAAGAGAAATATTTTGTGTAGTTGTTGTAAAACAGTTTTTCTAGTTTCATTTAAATAGTTTCAGTAGTTATTGTTAAATAATGTTGGGTCCCATTTAAATATTCTACGTGGCTGTACTTCTATTTGGGTTTTAACGCTGAGGTCTGTAAGGTACTCACAAACAAAAATTTAGCTCTATAGATCGATCTAGCTAGAGGCGAACGAATAATATGGCCCAGAATGCAGTTTCCCGACCCCCGGGGTAGAAGCTTCTCCAACCCATGCACTAAATACTGCTGTAATAATGTGGCCCGACTACCTTCGTTTTGTCATTCAGCACATCACATCAAAGACCAATCCCTACGTCACATTACATATCAGTCTATACATCACATTACATATCAGTCTATACATCACATTATATATCAGTCTATATATCACATTATATATCAGTCTATATATCACATTATAATCACACCACAGATCAAACTATAGATCACAGCAAACATTCAATACACAACTATTCCCATATTTGCTCAAGACAATCGATCTAGATCTAGCCACATATTTATCGTCTAGCCTCTCGCCCATAAAACCTGTGGCCTAGTGTAGCAATCTTTAAGCGTACACTGTACATGACTAGCCTTAATCGTACACCATACACAGCTAGCTTTAATCGTACACTATAAACGGCTAGCTTTAATCGTACACTGTACCCCACAAGGTACACACAACCCATCACACAATATGCGACCGCTAGTTGCCAACAACCCAATGTATTCATGGAAGGAAATAAAAGCAAAGTTCATCTGAATTTATGAGGGGAATAACACAGATTGTACTTACAAAATGTCTGCCTCGAGTTGTGTGACGTAACGATATGGTACTCAATTGTTTGGATCGCTGGACATTGTCTGGGGGCATTGTTTGGTTTACTGTCTTAAGGAGTCATTGCTGACTGCGTGACTGTTGGATGACTTGGCTAGATGACTTAGTTGCATGAATTAGATGATGACTGCTGGGTGACTTAGTTGGATGACAGTTGGATGATTTAGTTGCGTGGCTGCTGAATGACAGCTGGATGACTTTGCTAGACTTTGCTGGATGACTTAGTTGGATGACTTAGTTGCATGACTTATTTGGATAATTGTGCTGGATCACAGCTATATGACTTCCCTGTATGTCTTAGCTGTATGACTTAGCTGTATGACTTAGCTGTATGACTGCTGTATGACTGCTGTATGACTTAGAATGATGACTGTTTGGCCTTCTGTATGTAGTCTAAGACCCCCTGTATGATCTTGTCCTGGTCCACGTACTCCAGGATGTGGGGGGCGTTCAGCAAGATGCCAGCCGTGCCCACCAGAGTGACCAGCAGGAACACGATCAGCAGCAGTCTGTCCAGCACACGCGCCACATACTTCCAGTCCTCCAGAATCTGGAATCAGACGGAGAGGTGTTTAAAAACTGTGACCGGAAAATACGCAACGGAAAACTGCACAAAAAAATGCGCAAGGGAATCGAGCATTTATAGACATTAGTAAGAAATAACCACATGTTTATTGAAGCATTGGGACATATTTTTCCACGAAATATGACAACATTAAAGTGTATTATTATAAGCAATTTGTATATGCGCAGTTTTCAGTTTGCGCATTTTTCTCGCTTAAAACATGGGGATATGTAGTGGCATTACAAGGTGGTGGCGTGGAGAGTTAGCCCTTGTTAGTACATGGAGGTGGGGGGGGGGGAATGAGAAACATAATTATATTTTCATCTCAATTGGGTTCGCAAAGAAAAACAAAAAATAAACAACTTTTTTTTGCATTAATTATCTGATTACATTGTCATGTTAATGCTAAGATGTATCTAAAAGGAAGAAACCCATAAGGAAAATATTCCCGTGAGAGAAAAAGTCGCGACTCACGTTCTCGTACTCCTCCTCGTGCTTGAGGTGGAGGTAGATGAACTTGACCGCCTCCACGGTCTTGTAGAGCTCCGGCGTCATGTGGAACTCTGCAGTCTCGGTGCCATCGTGCTGGACACTGGCCGGACACGTGGACACGCAGCCGTGCTCACGCTTGTCCTGGCTGGAGCCCAGGGGGTGGAGCCTACAGTTGGGGTGGTGGACCTCGGTCAGCTCCAGGAGGTCGTTGTTGTGGCCGATGCTGACGTTGACCCTCCTGACTTCCGGCGTGGAGTGGAATGACGGGGGCGGGGAGAATGTCTTTCCCTGCCACCTGTTCATGTGGTCCGGTCTTTTGATGAACAGGTACCGAGGTAACTCCCTTAAGAACACGACCTTGACCCAGTGAGGCATATGGTGAGTCCTGGGGGTACGGTAATTCCGATTTATTATTATAACAGTCGATAGAATAGCGATGAGGTTCATGATGAAGGTGAACAGTAAGTATTTAGCGATGAGGGGGATGGTCAAGGAGGGTGGGAGGATCTTGGATACAAGCAGCAGAAAGACGACCAGCGCCAGCAGAACTGAGATACACAGAGTTATCTTCTCCCCGCCGTCTGCTGGGAGAGCGAACACGCAGATGCTGACGAAAGAGATGAGGACGCAGGGGATGATGAGGTTGACGGTGTAGAACAACGTCTTCCGCCTCAGGACGAACTCAAAGACAATCTGGTCCTTCTCTTCCCCAGTCACGTTGTCTTTGATGGTGACGATCTTCCCCGGGCAGTCGATGATGTCCCAGCTCCCGCTCTTCAGGTAGTCCGTCAGGTCAAGCTTGTTCATGTTTTGGTAGAACGTGTACTTCAGGGCGTTGCCCTTGTGGGTCCAGGACCCGAACTTCATCTCACAGACCTGCTGGTCGAAGGGGAAGTACATGACGTCGATGGAGCAGGAACTGTGGTAGATGGCGGGCGGGATCCAGTTGATGTCTGAGCTGCTGTAGAGGACACAGTTGGACTTGTAGGTCACCTCGTATTTACCGTCGGCGCTGAGGGCAAACGAAAGGTCATTGAATTTTAATTAATTAAAATATCATTAATTATCTTTCATTTTAACTTTATTACTACAAGAACGTGACGTGTTATAGATTTTATAGATACACACAAAAGGAACAAATAAAAAATTATAAGAAGTATTTACAGGTCAAACTATTATAAAAAAAACAAACAAAAAAACAACGTAAATGTCATGACCACTAGTATGCACGACATATGCATTTATTTTTCAGCATGACATAGGGTCACACATACATAGAAATTCTGCATTTAAAACCCGTGTACACTTGAATGTTAGCCTTTTGTTGTCCGCACTATTGAGCAATAAAAAATGAAGTCTTGCCGTAATGTAAATACACACAATCAGGAGTCAACTGTTATCCTAAGTGAGGTATTTTGTGAGGTCATAAAGTAAATGTTACCTCATGTGAGGTCAATATGGTACCATAGGTCACACAGATAAGGGAAGTAACTATCATAAAAAAAGTCTTTGTACTTTAATCTTTACTGGCATTTTGTGGCCCGGTTTGTGTTTTACAAAGAAAGTGGGCACCGTTTGGATTAAAAGATTAACTGTTGGATTATGTGAAGCTAACTGCGGGATCTTGATCTTTGATCTGAATTACGTTTGAATTAGTGCAGTTTAGTGTGTAAGGTCGAAACAAATAATGACACCCCACCCAATACCGGACCCCGCTGGTACAGGCTTTACCCCCCCCCCATCTATTATTATAAGTTTCAACCCACTGTGCTAATAAACGATTCAACCCCACTCCTCATGTGCTAATAAAGGCTTCACCCCACCCACTCTCCATGTGCTAATAAAGACCTCACCCCCACCCACTCCTCATGTGCTAATAAAGGCTTCACCCCCACCCACTCTCCATGTGCTAATAAAGACCTCACCCCCACCCACTCCTCATGTGCTAATAAAGGCTTCACCCCCACCCACTCCCCATGTGCTAATAAAGGTTTCACCCCCTCACTCCCTATGTACCAATAAAGGCTTCAACTCCCCCCCCCCTCCATCTGTTGTTACATTCTTCCCCACCTTTTACTGTACACGTTTCACACCCCCCCCCCCCCACGCCCCATCTGCTGGTACAGATTTCACAATTGGACAAGAGCATTAACTCGTATTAAAGGGAGAGAATGGCTCAGTTTAAAAGCTTTAATTCTTTAGAGGGATTCCGCTGTGTTATGAGGGCGTTCGCAAATAGGTGGGGGAGGGGGAGGAAATATCGAATGCGGCTTTCTTTAACTGGACATTTTTAAGTTGTTTTGTAGAAAATAATATAGACAAAGCTATTGAAGGGAGGAAAATATTTAAAAAAAAAAATGGTATACCATCTCACTGTGAGAAATCAATTAAACTGAGATTCAAGCATGTTTTGAAACTTGAATTCCTTAGAGATTAATCTCGACTGTCTAATGAAGAACGCTGTCCGATTTAAAAATCTACTATTAACATTGGCTCCAATTGTTACTGGTCTAACTTAACAGCTCTTGTCATATGAGCCAGTCGTAACATATCTTGAACTCTCTACACTGACCAAATGTAGCTTATCTTTATCTTGAACTCTCTACACTAACCTAATGTAACTATCTTGAACTCTCTACACTGACCAAATGTAGCTTATCTTTATCTTGAACTCTCTACACTAACCTAATGTAACTATCTTGAACTCTCTACATTGACCTAATGTAACTTATCTTTGTCTTGAACTCTCTATACTGACCCAATGTAACTTATCTTTATCTTGAACTCTCTACCTGACCCAATGTAATTCATCCTTATCATGAACTCTGTACAGCTTAATTATTTAACTGATCAAACCGGATATAGGAAAAATTTTCATATCAAGTGTCGGGGCATCTTCTACTTGTTGTAAAAGTAAATTAGATTTTATAAAGACGATTATAAATATCAGATTGTGACTCACTTGACTGTAGTAAATATCATATTGAGACTTACATTTTTGGTGCAAATATCAGATTATAACTCACTTGTTTAATGTAAATATCATGATTCACTTGTTTTGTGTAAATATTATTGCGACTCACTTGACTGTTGTAAATATCAGATTGTGACTCACTTGACTGTTGTAAATATCAGATTGTTACTCAGTTGTTTGGTGTAAATATCAAATTGTAACTCACCACTTGACTATTGTAAATATCAGATTGTGACTCACGTGACTGTTGTAAATATCAGATTGTGACTCACGTGACTGTTGTAAATATCAGATTGTGACTCACTTGTTAAAGAGCACAAAGTCTGGCACCCAGACCTTCTCTGGTTTAATCCTGATCGAGTCGATGTTGCCGTAGAGAGCTTTATCCCACTTGAGCTGATAATCCTTCCAGTACTGAGGAGTAGAGTTTACAGGTCAGGTGGGTGTGTGGGGTGTTCGTGTGGGGTGTTCATGTGGGGTGTGGGGTGTTCGTGTGGGGTGTTCATGTGGGGTGTTCATGTGGGGTGTTCATGTGGGGTGTTCATGTGGGGTGTTCATGTGGGGTGTTCATGTGGGGTGTGGGGTGATCGTGTGGGGTGTTCATGTGGGGTGTGGGGTGTGGGGTGTTCGTGTGGGGTGTGGGGTGTTCGTGTGGGGTGTGGGGTGTTCGTGTGGGGTGTGGGGTGTTCGTGTGGGGTGTTCATTTGGAGTGTGGGGTGTTCGTGTGGGGTGTGGAGGTGTTCGTGTGGGGTGTGGGGTGTTCGTGTGGGGTGTGGGGTGTTCATTTGGAGTGTGGGGTGTTCGTGTGGGGTGTGGAGGTGTTCGTGTGGGGTGTGGGGTGTTCATGTGGGGTGTGGGGTGTTCGTGTGGGGTGTCGTGTGGGGTGTGGAGGTGTTCGTGTGGGGTGTGGGGTGTTCATGTGGGGTGTGGGGGTGTTCGTGTGGGGTGTGGGGTGTTCATGTGGGGTGTGGGGGTGTTCGTGTGGGGTGTGGAGGTGTTCGTGTGGGGTGTGGGGTGTTCATGTGGGGTGTGGGGGTGTTCGTGTGGGGTGTTCGTGTGGGGTGTGGGGTGTGGGGGTGTTTGTGTGGGGTGTGGGGTGTTCGTGTGGGGTGTTCATGTGGGGTGTGGGGTGTTCGTGTGGGGTGTGGGGTGTTCATGTGGGGTGTGGGGTGTTCGTGTGGGGTGTTCATGTGGGGTTTTGGGTGTTCATGTGGGGTGTGGGGTGTTCATGTGGGGTGTTCATGTGGGGTGTGGGGTGTTCGTGTGGGGTGTGGGGTGTTCATGTGGGGTGTTCATGTGGGGTGTGGGGTGTTCGTGTGGGGTGTTCATGTGGGGTGTGGGGTGTTCATGTGGGGTGTTCATGTGGGGTGTTCATGTGGGGTTTTCATGTGGGGTGTTCATGTGGGGTGTTCATGTGGGGTGTGGGGTGTTCGTGTGGGGTGTTCATGTGGGGTGTGGGGTGTTCATGTGGGGTGTGGGGTGTTCATGTGGGGTGTTCATGTGGGGTGTGGGGTGTTCGTGTGGGGTGTGGGGTGTTCATGTGGGGTGTTCATGTGGGGTGTTCATGTGGGGGGTGGGGTGTTCATGTGGGGGGTGGGGTGTTCGTGTGGGGTGTGGGGTGTTCATGTGGGGTGTTCATGTGGGATGTGGGGTGTTCGTGTGGGGTGTTCATGTGGGGTGTTCATGTGGGGTGTGGGGTGTTCGTGTGGGGTGTGGGGTGTTCATGTGGGGTGTGGGGTGTTCATGTGGGGTGTTCATGTAGGGTGTGGGTTGTTCGTGTGGGGTTTTCATGTGGGGTGTGGGCTGTTCTTGTGGGTAGTTCATGTGGGGTGTGGGGTGTTTATGTGGGGTGTGGGGTGTTCATGTGGGGTGTGGGGTGTTCATGTGGGGTGTGGGGTGTTCGTGTGGGGTGTTCATGTGGGGTGTTCATGTGGGGTGTGGGCTGTTCTTGTGGGTAGTTCATGTGGGGTGTTCATGTGGGGTGTGGGGTGTTCATCTGGGGTGTGGGGTGTTCATGTGGGGTGTGGGGTGTTCATGTGGGGTGTGGGGTGTTCATGTGGGGTTTTCATTTGGGGAGGTTGGAACTGTTCACGTTGAGAGTTACGTGTGTTTGAATGACTGTTACGTGGGTTTAATTTGCGTTTAAGATGTGTTTATGTTGATTTATGATTTGTTTATATTGGAAGCTTTACGTGGTTTTATAACACGCTTTGATGCGTCTGTAATTTAATTTGTATTTTGATGAGCTTTAGATTCAATGACTTTTTGGGTGCATTACATGCTGTGTTGACGATATAAAAAATAAGTTAATATGTGTTTCTATTGTGTTTCATTTGTTGCAGTTTTTGGTGAATAAATAACGACTATAATATGTGTTTAGATTATGTCCACATACGAAGCTTGTAATTTTGTTTACATGTAGTTTCATTCTCTATTTTAGTGGTGACATTTTAAATTATAATTTAAATTAACATAATTTCCGTTTAGGTAAATCGACGATAACATTCCGGTTTTTTATGTGCATTAAAGGTGCAGCAGCTGATTGTAACATATCTAGATTCAGGACTTATGTGCCTAGAGTCACGACTATGTGTCTAGAGTCACGACTATGTGTCTAGAGTCACGACTATGTGTCTCGAGTCATGACTACGTGTGTAGAGTCACGAGAATGAGTCTAGAGTCACGGGTATGTCTAACTGTACCCAAGTACCTAGCTGGTGAATTCAAAGACTTGTAAAACAGATTGGAATAATCGAACCATTTTTTTTTAGAACAGGGCGGATCAAGCTAAAACTGGACGGTCAAGATTAGTGTAAACCCAACTAAACGGAAAACCAATTGGACTTGACCGCGGCCCGGGGGTAGAGGGCTGACCCCTGACCTCCAGCAGAGCTGAGACATTGATCCCCGGCCCAGGAAGGCCTTTAACTTGAGTCAATCAGAGGGGGAAACAAGAGAATTTCAGGCCGCGTCTCTCAGCGTCCAATTTTTTAACGTTAGAGAATCTGGTTAGGGCAAACTCAATGGCATCATACAGTGTCATGGTCTAGTCATATAAGGGAATGGCATTTTAATGTTTTGTCAGTAGACAGCAAAATAGACACAAAGTGCAATGGTATTTTAATGTTATGTCAGTTAGACCAGCCATAGAAAGAAGTTTTGCATTGTTTATTAAAATTTGATTAAGGTAATGTGAATTAACTGTAATAAACTATATCGTATCCCCCCTCCCCCTCCGAACGAAATGGAATTTATATAGAAAATATATACTTTTACTAGTGTCCACCCCCCCCCCCCCCCCCTCGAAAACATCAAGTGCCCCCTCGAAGAAAAAAGTCTGAAAGAAACTCTGGTCCAAAGTCTGTCCGCTGTCCAAATGTATCCACCGTGGTAGGTCTATCAACTGTCAGGTTTATTGACTGTCACGTCCATTAATTGTCCTATGTCTACCAACTGTCATGTCTATCCCTTGTCATCTACCAACTGTCATGTCTATCCCCTGTCATCTCCCAACTGTCATGTCTATCCCCTGTCATCTACCAACTGTCATGTCTATCCCCTGTCATCTACCAACTGTCATGTCTATCCCCTGTCATCTACCAACTGTCATGTCTATCCACTGTCATCTACCAACTGTCATGTCTATCCCCTGTCATCTACCAACTGTCATGTCTATCCCCTGTCATCTACCAACTGTCATGTCTATCCCCTGTCATCTACCAACTGTCATGTCTATCCCCTGTCATCTACCAACTGTCATGTCTATCCCCTGTCATCTACCAACTGTCATGTCTATCCCCTGTCATCTACCAACTGTCATGTCTATCCCCTGTCATCTACCAAATGTCATGTCTATCCCCTGTCATCTACCAACTGTTAAGTCTACCAACTGTCATCTATCAGTTGTCAAACATCTACCAACTGTCATCTACCAACTGTCATACATCTACCAACTGTCATCTCTCAGCTGTCATACATCTACCAACTGTCATCTATCATCTGTCATACATCTACCAACTGTCATCTATCATCTGTCATACATCTACCAACAGTCCCATGCCCCCAGACAACATCCGAGTTCCGAGTTCCGAGTCTCGAGGCTTCCAGCTGCGGTATTTAGGGCTCATCTTCCCACTTGATACGGGGACAATGAGGCGTATGAGGGAGGTAATCGCGCATGTCACGACACTCGTTGGCGAGTTACCGTCCCTTGACTCTGAGAACCTTGCCAGAAGCCACCTCCTCAAGTACAAAAATTATTCGGCATTTTCACATTTTTGTTTCCATTTCCATTTTCAAATTTTGTCGTAAGTGTCATTACATAGCCGGTCAAATTCTTGTAACGTTACAGCAAAAATATCCGTAGTCGCTATTTTTACCTTTCAAGTTTTGTTATAAGTGTCATTATATGACCGTCCTCATTTTTGGAACGTTACAGTAAAAATATCCTTAGTCGCTATTTTTATCTTTAAAGTTCGTTTTTTTAAAACACAGTAAGCACTCTAATCTCGGGGATTATAGGATGGAGAAACGTCCTAAGCCAAAGCTCATAATTAACGATAATCTGATGGATGATTACTGTGGTTGTGGTAGAGAAGTGTGTTTGGTGGGGTGGGGGTGGGAGGTGTGGAGGGGGGGGGGGGTGATCGGTAGAGGTGTAGGATAAGACCATCGTTTAGGGTGAAAATGAGGGGCAACTGGGAGGATCTAGTTAGGTGGGTTATGGGGAGGAGGTATTGAGTTTAGCATTTACATGCGGCGGGGGGGGGGGGGATTTTTTCAAGGTGGTAATGGACAGGGGGTAATTGATGAGTGAAGACAGGGGTGGTATGACCACGGAGGGAGGGTGATTGACCTACGTGTCTGTTTGTGTGTGTGTGTGTCGGGGGGGGGGGGGTAATTAATGAGTGAAGACAGCGGTGGTATGACCACGGAGGGAGGGTGATTGACCTACGTGTCTGTGGGGGGGGGGGGGGGGTAATTGACCAATGGTTAAGTCCTATACACAAAGTGTGTCAATAGGTCAACCCTATACATACTGTCGACAAACTTTTGCTAAGATGAAAGAGAACTAGTTTCAACCAATGCAAAACGTAGTACACACTGTCATGTAGTAATAAAGTACTGTAAAATCAATGTTTGTGTACAGAGGGGGGTTCAGCCGTCCTTAGAGTCAGTCTAGGTTATTCCATTAGTCGAACTTGATGCTGTTTTGTGGCAGCTTAGGTCTTTAGTGTCAGTTCTATTTTTGAGGGTGGGGTTGTTAGGGTCAGGTGTCAATACTACTTTTGATGGGTAGGGCTGAGTCAGTTCTACTTCATAGTGGTGGGGATGACAAAACCATGACATGGTGTCATGCTACTGCCAGCTACCGTGATCATGTGAGGTGGGGGTGGAGAAGTTTTGGGGGGGCGAGGGGGAGTATGAGGTTCACTTGCACCATATAACCTCTTCTCTTTCAATCAAAGCCTCCCAACTTCACAGGAACACAACAAATCATGACGTCATCATTATCTGGGTTAACTTTTTTTCTGTTTCATTTCGCTGGGCACAATTTTTTCCACCATCAAAAAAATTACGTCGAGATTTCGAGTAAATTTTCGACAAATCCTCCCCAAATGTTTCCATCTGTTTTGTCCGGCTGAAATAAATTCAGAAACGCGTGAAAAAAAAACTGTTTTTTTTTATCCCCTAAAATTTTCATTTTGCAGAAAATTCGATGAATGATGTCAGACCAGGATGCTCAGTCCGGCGTTATTTCTGACAAGGGGAATTAATTGCTCGCGCAGCTTTTTGCATCCGGGCATCAAAACTCACACGCAGCGGTCACGTGTTCACGCTAAACGTCATCAGTTCCTGCTGTGATTGTGTGACATTTGTAGCAGGGTAAGAAAGTGTTGATGTTCAACAGACTTGGTATGATCAAAGGTTTGAGGTTATAGATGGGGCTAGTCGTCTAGTTGGTGGTGAGGCTATGGTAGAATGTACCATCTAGACGTGCGGAGAGGCGTATGTCAATCTATATGCGATTTTACAACTTAAAATTTCAATTTATTAGAAGATCTAATTATCCACGATGATTTGCGAGTCACGCAATGTTACTGTACGATTATATGTCATGATGTTAAAAGAGTTTAAATCCCGTAAATACAACTATTTTAATAGGCGGTAGTTAGATGGGGGAAGGGTTGGGGTAGTTACACAAAGACGTTAGTTACTGAGGTAGTTACACCAGGCGTATATAAGTCTCAGTTCTGATTCTGAGGGAGAGATAGGTCTGAAATGTGTTGAGGAATAGAAACAGTATTTTAAACTAAACTGTTCATCAATCCTGCGTGGTTAAGTGTGCGTGTGATGTGTGATGTGTCTTGTTTTCAAAGTGTTGTTTCTGTGTGTCGCTTTGTGTGTTGTTTTACACGTTATCGTATGTGTGTAAATATGTGTGTACATGAGGTTTCACTGAAACGTTGTGTGATGTCATGTGGTCACGTGTCATGATGTGTCACGTGATCAGGTGTCAGAGCGAGTGTCACGTGATCAGGTGTCAGGGCGAGTGTCACGTGGTCAGGTGTCAGGGCGAGTGTCACGTGGTCAGTTGTCAGGGCGGGTGTCACGTGATGTGTGTCAGGGCGAGTGTCACGTGATGTGTGTCAGGGCGGGTGTCACGTGATGTGTGTCAGGGCGAGTGTCACGTGATGTGTGTCGGGGCGTGTGTCACGTGACATCAACTTACAATTTGCAGCCAGACGTTTGTTTTCATCACTTGGTTGACCTCGTCCTGTTGGGGAAAGTGGAGAGAAAGTTGATTTTAGTTGGAGGGAAAGTTGATTTTAGTTGGAGGGAAAGTTGATTTTAGTTGGAGAGAAAGTTGATTTTAGTTGGAGAGAAAGTTGATTTTAGTTGGAGGGAAAGTTGATTTTAGTTGGAGAGAAAGTTGATTTTAGTTGGAGGGAAAGTTGATTTTAGTTGGAGAGAAAGTTGATTTTAGTTGGAGGGAAAGTTGATTTTAGTTGGAGAGAAAGTTGATTTTAGTTGGAGGGAAAGTTGATTTTAGTTGGAGAGAAAGTTGATTTTAGTTGGAGGGAAAGTTGGTGTGAGATGAAGTGGAGAGAAAGTTGATTTTAGTTGGAGAGAAAGTTGATTTTAGTTGGAGGGAAAGTTGATTTTAATTGGAGAGAAAGTTGATTTTAGTTGGAGAGAAAGTTGATTTTAATTGGAGAGAAAGTTGATTTTAGTTGGAGGGAAAGTTGATTTTAATTAGAGAGAAAGTTGATTTTAGTTGGAGAGAAAGTTGATTTTTAATTTTTTTTTGAGAATATTTGATTTATCTTAATTTGAGGGAAAAAAATAGTTGATTTTAATTTTAGGTTAATTCAATGTAAGAACATCTTTTAAAACTTTATAAATGCAATATTTATAACGAAAAAAACAAAGCAGTCTAAAGTTTCATTAAAAAAAACAATAGAAAATCAAATACATAAACACCATAGTAACACAGAGACTGACGGATGGTCACAACACTGACAGCCGTTAACCCAGCTAACATTGACAGCCGTTAACCCCAGCTAACATTGACAGCCGTTAACCCCAGCTAACACTGACAGCCGTAACTCCAGCTAACACTGACAGCCGTTAACCCAGCTAACATTGACAGCCGTTAACCCCAGCTAACACTGACAGCCGTAACTCCAGCTAACATTGACAGCCGTTAACCCCAGCTAACATTGACAGCCGTTAACCCCAGCTAACACTGACAGCCGTTAACCCAGCTAACACTGACAGCCGTAACTCCAGCTCTAGCTAACACTGACAGCCGTTAACTCCAGCTAACACTGACAGCCGTTAACCCCAGCTAACACTGACAGCCGTTAACCCAGCTAACATTAACAGCCGTTAACCCCAGCTAACACTGACAGCCGTTAACACAGCTAACACTGACAGCCGTAACTCCAGCTCTAGCTAACACTGACAGCCGTTAACTCCAGCTAACACTGACAGCCGTTAACCCAGCTAACACTGACAGCCGTTAACCCCAGCTAACACTGACAGCCGTTAACCCAGCTAACACTGACAGCCGTTAACCCCAGCTCTAACTAATACTGACAGCCGTTAACCCCAGCTCTAACCAAATTTCTCGACCTAATCCGATTCCATGCCGAAAACGAATCATTTGGCTGTAAAAAGCTGAATAAAAACTGGCTAAAAATTGGGCTAAACGATATGACGAGTGTCAGTCACGTGATATGACGTCATTATGATATTGTTTCTCGCTCAGCCCTAGCCGCATCTCGACACGCCATGGCTGACGTCACAAAATGGCGGAACTGACACACGACTCACGGCCTTTGGGTGGGCTGATCTTTTTTTTATGTCGCCGTGTCCATATGTTCTTTTTATAGAAATGAGGACAGGAAATGGCAGTGGAGGGTGGGGGAGGGAGGGGGAGGAGGCAGGTAAACTGATCCGGAAAACCAAATACGTGAGTGGGGGCGGGAGGGGGGGGGGGAGATGGTTGGCGACGGTTTCTGGAACACATTGGCTTGACACGTGATCGAAATTCAATGTTACGTCATCCATAGCGGACTTAAATTGAACGTTTGATGGTAACGGGCTATCACAGATCATTATCCACACGCTTATGCATTTTTAACATTACAGAACACATGTGAAAGTTTTGACCACTGCTGACCACTTATACACACTCTGATTACAACTAGCTACAATTACACACACACACCGAACATCACTGATTACATGTACACTGACCACCAATGACCACATGTGCACACACCAAAACTGACGGTACGTACGCACACTGACCACCACTGACCACATATGTACACAACCTAACCACACATGTACACACACTGACCACCACTGACGATAAGTACACACACTGACCACACATGTACATACACTGACCACCACTGACCACAGATGTACACACCCTAACCACACATGTACACACATTGACCACTACTGACCACACACGTACACACACTGACCACCACTGACCACACACGTACACACACTGACCACCACTGACCACATGTACACACACTGACCACCACTGACCACATGTACACACACTGACCACTACTGACCACACACGTACACACACTGACCACCACTGACCACATGTACACACATTGACCACCACTGACCACACACGTACACACATTGACCACTACTGACCACACACGTACACACACTGACCACCACTGACCACACACGTACACAAATTGACCACCACTGACCACACACGTACACACACTGACCACCACTGACCACACATGCACACACACCGACCACCACTGACCACAGATGTACAAACACTGACCACCACTGACCACACATGTACACACACACTGACCACCACTAACCACATTAATAATCTGACTGAGAGCCAGATTGAACTGAATGTCCAGCGTGTCGTTGCTGTTGACCACTGGCCGAATGAGGGGGTTGTAGCCGTTCTTCTCAAACAGGTCGTAGATGAGGCGTTTCTCATTTTCACCTGCAGGCAAAAGGTAGATCTGGTTATACGGTGCATCACATAGACATGACACATTCACATACACAACATCACATAGACACGACACATTCACATACACAACATCACATAGACAGGACACAATCACATACACAACATCACATAGACACGACACATTCACATACACAACATCACATAGACACGACACATTCACATACACAACATCACATAGACACGACACAATCACATACACAACATCACATAGACACGACACATTCACATACACAACATCACATAGACACGACACAATCACATACACAACATCACATAGACACGACTCAATCCCATACACAACAATACATAGACACGACACAATCACATACACAACATCACATAGACACGACTCAATCCCATACACAACATCACATAGACACGACTCATTCACATACACAACATCACATAGACACGACACAATCACATACACAACATCACATAGACACGACTCAATCCCATACAAAACATCACATAGACACGACACAATCACATACACAACATCACATAGACACGACACAATCGCATACACAACATCACATAGACACGACTCAATCCCATACACAACAGCACATAGACACGACACAGTCACATACACAACATCACATAGACACGACACAATCACATACACAACATCACATAGACACGACACAATCACATACACAGCATCACATAGACACGACTCAATCCCATACACAACATCACATAGACACGACTCAATCACATACACAACATCACATAGACACGACACATTCACATACACAACATCACATAAACATGACACATTCACATACACAACATCAAATAGACACGACACAATCGCATACACAACATCACATAGACACGACTCAATCCCATACACAACATGACATAGACAGGACACATTCTCATACACAACATCACATAGACATGACAGAATCACATATAACAGATCACATACACATGACACATTAACATACACCTTATCACATAGACCTGACACATTAACATACACTACATGACATAGACATAACAAATTCACATACACCATATCACATAGACATCAAAATCCCACGTACAACATAACATTAACAAAATCACCGTGATCGCCTTATAAATCAATGTTCATATCATCGTCTATGTGTTGTTTGGTGGGGGGGGGGGGGGTGGGGTGGGGGTAAAGTACTGTTTAGGATTTGGGGTTGTAGTGATTTAAAAAAAAAATCACTTGATGGTAAAAATAATGAAACAAAATAATACTCCAACATACATTAATTACGTAAGCTTACAAAAAAACTTGACTGACAAAATGTATTTCTAACGATGAAATTCTCTCCCTCATATGTCGAGGTCACAGAATAGGTCAACTCTACTCCATATTCAGGTCCAAACTGGGTGTCTTTAGCTTTACGTTCGCCAGATTTAACATAGCATAATGAAATCAACTACAATCAAACAATCCTGAACCCAATACACAAGTAATGTAGCCTATGTAACATCAGATAATCGTAGATCTATTTTTAGCTGTGTTAATTTTTTTGTTATTCCAATCATTCTAAACTGAAAAAATGAGTAAAAATAAGTTTGAATTGTTGTTTACTTTATATCGAGGTCAGGGTGCACTTACAAGTTAATGAAACGACAACATCAACACACACACACAAAACATGAATAAATAAAAACCACTATCATAACAAAATCATAAACCACCACACTTCACTGAAAATATACGCGGCCCCAATCATGATTTGAAAAAAAAATGTGAAGGGCGGGTGGCGGCGGTGGTGGTGGAGTGGGGGGAGGGGGCTAAGTTTATGAAATTGTCACAAAAAGTGGTAAAAATATTTTTCAAATATATATATATATATATATATATATATATATATATATATATATATATATATATATATATATAGCAGAAGAAGAAATCTATGTCGTTGACTGAAGTATCGACGTTAAGACCGAAGTACCAGCCAAGTAAATTGACTTGAAATCTCGATACAATACCAGCGATGTTGACTAGAGATTGACCGTATAAAACACGAACAAGGACTTAAAGAAACAAATGTTGGTGGCGAAATGGCTGCCTACACCCCAGACAGCAAGTTCAAATAAAGATCGAAATGTAATCAAGTCTGCCGGAAGTTGTTTCAGATGGTTTCAAACTAACGCGCATGCGTAATGATATGAACTAAATCAGAGGCTTTCCCCCCTCCCCCCGCTTGTAAAACAGTGAGCTGTATTGACCCCGTGACCTCAACCTATGTTTCTGGGCGCAGTTCGTGGGCTGGAAGACAAATCTTGGAACCAAGGGCAGATAAATGTGTCGGGGCTCTTGCTTCAGGGGGAGAGCGGAAATGATGTGCCGAGTCATGTCCACCGCGCATGACTAAAATGGATCTATCAGTGATACCCAAGTCTCTTGGTGGAATACTCAGACATGGGTTATGTGACCCCAGTGGCTGGGTCTGTATGACCCGTGTGGGTAACTGTGTGGTTGCTGTGGTGGATGTGGCAAATTTATGTGAAGTTGGGCTAAAGAATAGGTGCTGCAATATATGTGAGATGGATGTAGGGATAGACATGAAAGATTATGCAGAACGTTAAATGATTGATACATTTGAAGCAAGAATGTTGAAGAAATATACACACGTACTTGACACTAAAATACATATGTCAGGTTCACATAGAGATACATAATTATGTATGCTTGATACAAACATACATCCGGCTGATTGATGCAGAAAAATATATGTAATTGAACACACAATATAATTAAGATTTTTGTAGAGATAGATCAACACAATTATCTTAACTAGTGATCGAGTGCTATAGAATTGAACAAAAAGGGTATATATTTAAATGAAGGAAAAAAAAACCAGCCCCATCCAAAACTTCAATCCAAAATAAAATCGAATATCTCCCCCCCCCTCTCCTCCCTACCCTGGAGGGTCGAAAAAATGAACATGGAGTGGAATATTTTCTGGGATATATAGCAGGTCAATGTCTGAAAACTGGCATTAGGAATAATGGCAGCTGTGTGGTTGAGGGGGGGGGGGGTCCTGCCCTACGGCGAGGCTAGGGCGGGACGGGGGGGGTTGTTAAATAACGCCTATAAGTTGTGTGCGCCACTGGAATAAAAAGTTGTGTACAACACGATAAAAGCTTGTTAAATAAAGCACGTAAGTTATGCGCGCCCCATAAAGAAAAAAAAATGGTGCGCAACACATAAAAATGTTTTTAATTGTGCGCCAAGAAGAAAAAAAATTGTGTGCGCAACACTCCAAAAAGTTGGTTAAATATTACGCAGTTTGATGAAGTGCCCACGTGACCAATGTTTTTAAACCGAAAATTCCAGACTTCTGCACCCCCCTCCCCTCCACCTTACTTGATGGATACTAACGATCTTCTGCTGGTGCGCACGTGCTCGTCTATCACCACCCCAGGGGTACACATCGTCTGATAAAGTATAATAATCTACCCCTGCCTGTAACGTCTGCTTGTATACACCCGGTCAACACTGGCCAGCTTACCGGTGGCGCCACTCCCCTCCCGTCCCTACTGTTTGTTTTACTACAATCTCCCAACTCTAAAAATAGCTGGTCAACTTCCGTTTTCCCATCTGTGTTAGTCTGCTGATGTACCGGGGCTTATGGGAAGCCAATTACCAATTTTTTATAATCTGTTCAACTCAAGCTTTAAGTAGATGGCTCCTGAATGCGCCGCGCTAATCTATCGGACAAACTTCGACGCGAGGTAAAAGCGAGGCTAGACCCTCGCGTCTAACTCTAACGGGCTAGACCCTCGCGTCTAACTCTAACCATTACCTCGAGCTTGTACTGTATGCTTGGACGGGGAGTATTTATTGTTTAAGGAATAATTAGACGACTAGTTAGGGAAATAATGAGAGAAAAGTTAACAAACAAAGTTATGTGCGTCATGTTGCGTTAGTTGGGTCGCTGGGAAATGTTGGGCTTTGGGGAAACTTTGGGGAAACTTTAGGTTGGGGAGAGGGAAATTTGATTTTTGTATTTATCAATTGGGATAGTTGAGTTTTTTGGGATAGTTGAGTTTATTGGGATAGTTGAGTTTATTGGGATAGTTGATTTTATTGGGATAGTTGATTATATTGGGATAGGTGATGATTTTGGAATAGTTGGTGCTTAGGGGTAAAGTTGAAGATATTGGGATAGTTGATGTTATTGGGAAATTTGATGTTATTGAAATGGTAGAGGGGATGGTTGGAGTTATTGGAATAGTTGATGTTTTCGGGATAGTTGATATTATTGGAGTAGTAGATGCTATTGATAAGTTGTTGTCATTGGGATAATTGATAATTTGGAAAGTTGATGATATTGTTTATGTCATCCGAATAGTTGATGTTATTGAAATAATTGATGTGTTTTCGAAAATTGATGTTATTTATATTATTGATAGTATTGAAATAATTGATGTTTTTGGAAAAGTTGATGTTATTTGGACAGTTGATGCCATTGCGATAGTCATAGTTGATGCTATTGAAATAATTGATGTGTTTTCGAAAGTTGATGTTATTTAGATAGTTGTTGTTATTGAAAAAGTTGATATTATTGGAGTACTTGATGCTATTGAAATAATTGATGTTTGGGAAAAGTTGATGTTAGTAAGAATTATCGGGCAATTACAGGTAAATGGATGAACTAGATGGTAATCAGTGGCTAATTAGGTGGTAACCAGGCTCATTAGTGGATATCTAGGGGTTAAAAGCTTGTGAGCGGAGACAGGAATAAAACAGCTAGTAGCCTACTGGAGCCATACCGGGTTTCTTTCAGACATTTTTCTTGAGGGTGTGTGTGTGTGGGGGGGGGGGGTTAAAACTCCAGGGGGAGGGGAACTTGTCGGCTACTTGTTAAAGTACATATGAAAGTGCTATTTCGAACTTGTTGTGTCACGGGGCAGGTGAAGTAGAGCTCACCTGTTTTTGTGACCTCGGCGTATGAAGTGATAGTGTTATC